CAGTATATTCACGTGAGTAATCCGCGATTTTTAGTTAATTTAGTATGTCTCACAATAGTTATTATAAAAATATATTTTGCTTTTTACGAACCTCTAAGTGACTTCTAACAGTGCAAGTAAGGGGTTTAAAGTAAAGTCGAAATCAAATCATTTATTTCAAAGACTGTGATGTGCTTACTCTTGAGACCAATCTCAATGTCAATGCAATTTCAATCCAAAAAACCCCAATAATTATTCTATGTCAAAACTATACAAGCCCTATCGTAGCTGTTAAAATAGCATTCAGAGTACGGAATATAAAGTCAAACTCAATACCATTTAGTTTATTAAATATCCACGCAATACGAATGCAATGGGCGCTAGTGTTGCAACTCAAGAGTACGAAATTTCACAATACCAATGTCGATCAATCGGAATTGGATTCAAGAGTAAGCCCCCAGGAAGACACTTTTGAACGTTAACAGGACAATATAAGAGTATTTGCTCATTCCAAAGTGTAGATTCCTATGGAGAAGAACGAGCAAGAAACTCCATAGGTTACTTTTTCAATCAGGTACACAATACAATTTTTAGTTACACAGTTTTGTTCTGTAGGTTTTGTCTTAATCAAGACTAGCGACCCGCCCTGGCTTCACGTGGGTGCAATATGCATGCATATATTATACATATAAACCTTCCTTAAGAATCACTCTATCTATTAAAAAAAACCGCATCAAAATCCGTTACGTAGTTTTAAAGGTCTGAGCATACATAGGGACAGACAGACGATGGATCATCATTCATCAACAGCCTATAAATGCCCACTGCTGAGCCTCTTCTCACACGGAGAAGGTTTGAGCATAAATCACCACGCTTTCTCAATGCGGGTTGGCGATTTCAAACTTATAATTAGAAATTATAAGCCCAGGTTTCCTCACGATGTTTCCCTCACCTGTCAGTGGTGTCTAGATAATCTCAGAAAGTACATATAACTCGGAAAAAATCAGATTGGTACTTGCCGTTGGTAGGTTTTGAAACCGTACCGTCATGCATGAGAAGCGGGCGTCTTAAACCTCCGGGCCACCACGACGATGGATACCTACTTTTATATTATGTAGGGATATGATTTAGGGGTTGTCGGTGAAAATGATTATTGATGCATTTTTAAGCAGTTTTTAGAGTCAAGTGTGACTGTAAAGCATTTTGTAATAAATTTTATTTAATTTAAATATTTATGTATTGTTTTGTTATAAACAAAATTGTAGTGGTTTGTCGGGTTGATTTTTTTAATAAAAAAATGAGAAAGTAATTCTTTTGTATTATTTTTTTTACTGCCTCGCTGGCCGAGTGGTCGCAAGTGTGACTGCCGGGCAAGGCATCTCGAGCAGGAAACCCAGGAACCGTAGAAAACCCAGTAATTGTTTTTTTTTTATTCTCAGTAGTAGCACGGAGTCTGGAATTGTGCCCGGTATGTAGCAATAGACTCACCCTCTATTACATAGGACTCATAACATAAATAGTGAAAAGTGGGTGCTACATTGCACAGTGGCATAATGTGCACCTCTGCCTATCCCTTCGGGGATAAAAGGCGTGATGTTATGTTATGTTATTTTTTTACTACATACTCTTTGGCTTACCAAAGACTATAAAGTCTTATTGTGCGTCTATATATCGGAAAGACCTCACGAACAGCGTGGTCATTCATCCTTAATGTATGTACAATCAATTAATTAATCAACTTTAGTAGTATGCAGATAAGAAAATAAAGTTGTATTCAGTACAGAGACAGTAACCATTGGTTATATAGAGCCGACTGAGTTACAGAAGACATGGCTTCGTTACAAAGCATACAATTTAGTATAACTGTTAGTTTAGGTTACCGGGGCTCCGGCTCGATAGGAACGCGGTGGTTTTTAGTCAGTAAATGCCTGACACTGAAGGCGGGAGAAGCCATTGGATGAATTTACCCCTTAAAAAAAAAGTACAACTATAGTTATGTTATAATGATGATGTTGTGAGCCCAAAGGATTAGCAAGCTGAAATGGCAGTGGGCCGGTCACATTTGTCGAAGAACCGATGACCGCTGGAGTAGACGTGTTCTAGAGTGGAGACCGCGTCTAGGCAAACGTAGTGTAGGGCACCCTCCAGCTAGGTGGAGTGACGATATACGTAAAGTGGTTGGTAGTGGTTGGATGCGTAGAGCTGGAGACCGAGCTCTGTGGCGTGCCATTGGAGAGGCTTATGTCCAGCAGTGGACGAAAATAGGCTGTTGATGATGATGATGTTGTGACAAGGATAGGAAAGGCTACGATGGTTTGGACTTTGGACATATAGAGAAAGGATGAATGAAAGAGTACCCAAAGAAGTATACAGAGCAGATATCCATTCATATCTGCTCTGTATACTTCTTTGTCGATAAAGGGCGGACGGCATAATAATATCGACTAAATTGGCAATATATTAACTTTTCGTGTATCTGTAACGCGGATCCACGCGATACACAATGTAATTTCTATTGTGTCTCACATTGGTTTATTTAACAAGCGCCAAATTAAAAGTAGGTACCCTTAACCAAATAGCATGCATGAAAAGACTGTTTGTGATGCGAAAGAGGAATGTGTTCTTTAATCCCTTCCTACCTCCATGGTGGACAGGCGTGAGGTTGTTTATGTATGTACTGTCTGTACTGAATCAATGTTTAAGTATTTTCTTACCAGTGCCTTTAGCCAAATGCCACTTTAGCGCTTGTCTACAGAGAGAGTAGAAAACTAAATGTATGGGGATGACACTGACAAGTGTCAAAATTTAATTCAATATAATATAATTTGGTTTTCTATTCTACATGTAGACAAGCGCTAAATGGCATTTGGCTACTGCAGCATACTAAATAACTTGGTTGACTGATCAATACTGACTGGTTGTGACAGAGTCGACGCTGATCTGTTAAAGTGTAGGAGAAACAAAAACTACATATTTTACATAACATAGTATTTTATTTACGCATAATAATTAAGTAATAATTATACAAAAATATAATTCTAATCTATTTATTAATTAAAATGGGGAAATGATAGGACTAAATAATTAAATTGGCACAAATAATATCTACATTATAGATATTAGAATCGTATAAGAATTTTTATTAATAAATATATAGCACATATTGAATTTACCTGTTTTTCAATGTCGTAGCGTGATGATATCCTTTATTGTAGACATACTAAATTTAAATAATATTGAATGATACAATTTTCGGCTCTTGATTTAGAACCCCAGGATGCCTTGAAATTAATCGAGCGTCCTCGTAAATAGTTATAAGAGTGTGCTATAAGTAATATTATTTAAGTTTAGATAGCTTTCTTGAAGTACATGATTTTTTTATATTAATGATTTTTATATAAATATTTTTCCAATACTTTATAAGTATATGGTATGTAGGTATTATATGTATTAATATATAAAAGTCTACAAGTTGACCTTACGACACACAGCGTCAACTGATGACTCTTACTTAAATACAATCGAAGATTTTCGTTGAAAAATAATAATATCAAAATAAACATAAAATAACTCTAATAGATTTTTATAATAAAATAAAATAAAATTATGACACATTAATAAAAGGCCACGGTATTATTAGATTTTTTTAAATAACATTTTAATAGGAATGATGATACATACGAAATTTTTAATTATTTCTAATCCGTCACTGCGTCAGTTAGATAAAATCAAAGAATACATTTTAGTCATCACCTCTATTAAAATTATATAATAAATGATTAAATAAATACATAAAGGATTTTATACAACCATACAGGAAGACAATGATACAACGATTCTACGAAACCTTACGTTCTAGCTCGTACGATTTCGAGCTTGATTTTTTATGTCAATAAGTGTTGGATTTTAATCTAATGGTTTTATTATGGTATTTATTAAAATAAGTACAGTTTTTTAATTAATGACTGACATAGTACTGTATCCAATGGTTAAATAATTGATAATTGAAGTAATTACAATGAATTAGGTATTGCTATCTTCTTCTTTTTAACAATGCAAGAAAGAGATGGATAACATCTGTCAAATAAATTTTGACTGTTACGGAAATATGGTTGTCTTTATCTTGCACGTTTAATAGAAAGAGATAACGTATAACGTTATTTTTAAAAAGATATAAATGTATGGTATTTGAATAGGGAAAAATATGAATTTTCATAAGAGTCGTTTTTCATTAAGACACTATAGTCGTACGACTAATTGCGCAACCATGTTGTCTACAGAGAGACATCAGAACAAACACTTTTTTTTTGTTTTGGGGGGAAAATCATCGAATGACTGCTCCCGCCTGGGTGAGGCGGAAGGGAGTGTCAGACTCTTACTGACTAAAAACAGCCCCGTTCCTTCTCCTGCACGTCGAGCCGGAGCCCCGGTTACCCGTTAGGTTCTCCGCGACTCCGAATCGGCAACAGCCCTATTGGGCCCTATTTGTGGTGGTCTGATGGCTCTTTGAGGCGCGCGCGGAACGCGACGCGACGTACGCTCGGGATCAGAACAAACACTAGGATTGTTATGTCGCCAGCAACTTATTAGTCGCGCAACTAAGTTGTCTACAGTTTACATTCTGATGGTTGCGCGACCTGGTCATTCGAACATGGTGTCTTAGTGAAAAATAAAGAACTTAATCTTAAAATTTACGCTGGAATGTAAATAAATACTGTAAAATTAGAAACTAATTTTAATGACTAATTTATATCTACATACTATCGGTGCATTATTTTATTATTGAAGTGAATTTTTGGGTACCTTGACAAGTTGTTTGAAACGACGGATCACCTGATGGTAAGCAACCAGCGTCTCCACCAAAGGAGTTATAAATTCGGACACTTGAAGTTGGTATGTATGCAATGATCATGAATATGTGTAAGTTGCTCCTATTAGAGTTTAAATTAAATATATTTTTAAATGAGTAATTTCATGTTTTGATCACTGTTAGTGTTTTGACATTAAGCATAATTTTGCAGGATATACAAACATCAACAAAGTGTCTACTTCATCATCTGAACTCCTAAACGGCTTAACTCATATTCATAGCGTTTAGTGGTATTTTTGAATTCACTCCAAAATAAAACCGAAATGCATCTAAATGACTATCACTTACTTCTTACCACCAAGTGACTCGAAGAAATTGACAAACTTATTCACTCCAATATTTTTGGGCAGATCATCTTCTGGTGGGTCATTCGCCCTGATCACGTCTTTAGGAGCCCCGTTCGACCTTGAGACCATTTTGATCTCGTTCGAAGGTCTTGGCTGGACCTTGCGATCACCGTTTAGAACTGCAGTTACAGGAGGCTGGCTGGGATGGCTTTCCTCAATTTTTACCGGCTCTTGAATTTTTTCTTCAACCTTAGCATGGTCTATTTCATTCTTTTCTACATCTTCTACGTTTTCTACGACATGGTCATTATTTTCTACGACTGGTTCGTTGTTTTCCACAGCAGTGTCGTTGTTTTCTAACACCGCTTCGTTATTTTCGATAACTTCAGTGATTACTTCGTTAGACTCGACCGGTTCTCCGTTATTTTCGGTGATGAATTCGTGAGTCTCGGAGACAATTTCGTTGTTCTCCTTCACGATTTCTGTAGTCTCCGATACGTAGGTATGGGATTCCGTGAATTCACTGGATTCGGAGTAAACAGTCACAGTTTCGGAGTATGATTCGATGATTTTCGGTTCCGATGATAATTTTAGGGTGATCTCATCGTTGTTTGACCTTGGGTGGTCCCAGATTCGGTAGTATTTGCTGTATAAGCTGTCCCAGAAGTCCATCTTTTCCTTGTCTGGGTTTGTGCCTAAGGATAGTTCTTGGCCTAGGTTAAGGTAGTAGAGGTTGTCCTTGGTGACTGGCAACCAGGTCACGTTGAGGTAGTGGTTCTCATCAGGTGTTGGGTTCCTGGAAATGAGAAAATTTGTGGGTTAAAAAAAAGGAAGATTATAAACAAACTATAAGTGTCCAAATCTAAGTCATTCGGCCTCAAAGTACTTATAAGTTAGGTTGTTTTTGATAGAAGATTTTTAGTTAGTAGAAATATGACAGAGGATTGGTTCCAATGTTAAGAAACAGCCTTCTCTGTTTTTGGTCATATCCTTACTTCCTTACTTATATTATAAATGGGAAAGTGAGTTTGTTTGTTTGTTTGTTTGTTCCGCTTTCACGCCGTAACTACTAAACCGATGGCTTTGAATTTTTGCAGACGTAAAGTTAGAAGTCTGGATTAAATAATAGTGTACTTTTATTCCGGAAATATTTGATATTCCCGAGGGAAAATAAAAGTATTGGTATAGATGGCGCTGTGTGTATTGGTATATGTCACATAGGCTACTTTTTATCCTTTTGTGACGCGAGCGAAGCCGCAGGTAAAAGCTAGTTACTACAAAAATATATAACTGACTGATAAATTGGTTAATGCACAACAGTACAACATAACCCTTCAAGGAATTTAAGAACTTCAACTCACCCGCCCTTCGCAAAGTTAGTCCACAGCCTCAGCATTCTCTCCCTCATCTTAATATCAAGAGTGGTGGGCTCCACATCCTTCTGCAGGTCATTACGGAACAGGTAACCAAGTTCATCCATATGCATCGCTCGTTTAAGTCCAAATGTGTTCAAAACCTTCTTGGAAATATTTAATTCACCAACGTAGTCAAACTTGTAATAATAAATTGGCTTTTTGGACACATTTATCAAGTATTGGACGTGTCTATGTGTGTCCACGTTGATAGTCTTGTCCGATAGAAGCTCAAAGTATTCTGGGAGACTCTCCACACCAGTGTGGCTACCTTTAAAGTACAAGTTCTTAATCTGATCAGCGATTTCCAAAGCCTGTTCCGAATTCCTCTCGATATTCAGTTCTTCTGGAATGAAACCTTGCAAATCATCCGTTCTTCTTTCGAAAGCAAACTCTAAAGAAGTTGATCCAATCATTATTGGTGTTTCTGCTATTCTGCCTGACGTTAGCAGGTCTATGAACGGCTCTGTGATAACCGCTTCGACTCCTGGAAACTCCTTCTCAACGACTACACCAAAAGCGTTGATCACTTCAGGGAATAACTCTGTAGGAGTTAGCTTTTCGTGAGCTTCCACCAACTCCCGAGCAGAAGTAGCATTTAAGAAGTCTAGAACTTCTTCAGGGTCATCAGATTCGCAGCCTAAGCTCTTGGCTAGGTTTCTGGCGTTTTCAATAGGGGTTTTTTGCACAGTCCAGTATGATAAAGCAGTACCTGACTGAATAATTGCCTTATTGATCAAACCCTTGGTTAACGGACTAGCAGTAAGGAGAGAAACAGCTGCTCCACCAGCGCTTTCACCAAAAATGGTGATGTTACCACTGTTTCCTCCAAAATTATGGATGTTTTCCTTGATCCACCTCAAAGCTTGGACTTGGTCCTTTAATCCAGCATTTCCGGGGACTTCTGGAGTGCTCAGGCTCAAAAATCCAAGGACTCCGCATCTATAGTTCAAGGTTACTACAACAACATCCTTTTCTACGAGGTAGTCTCCTCCATATAGGCTGGAGTTACCTGATCCGAACACAAAACCTCCTCCGTGGATGAAGACCATGACTGGGAGGAATTCTCCATCTAAATTGGGAGTGTATACGTTCAGGAAGAGGCAGTTTTCATCGCCCACGTATTCTTTCTTGAAGAAGTCGATTTGTGCGGAGACACTGCCTTCAGCGGACGCATCGCGGATGCCGTCCCATGGTTCTGGTGGTTGGGGCGCCTGGAATTTGAAGAGGGAATATTTGATGATTCTGTTCTACAAATATGTACGTTCAGTTCTAATTAAATAAGTGCTCCTAAGTGGCATTATGATTGTCGGTTCTCACACCCTCTTAACGCCTTATTGTGACAAAATCCTTGATAAAGGGTTCTTTTCCTGCCATGCGGGTCTCACTACGTGCGGGCTACCCCTATTTAAGGATTCTTAAACACGTCATAATACTTAAAGATCTAATGATGGTGTTAAAATGGTGAAATCTGGTTTTGTAAAATATATTTTAGAGAAATATTGCAGTAGAAAATGCAAATCTTGCGAAATTGAGACTCAAGCGACCTGCACGTGGTTTGGGCATGTTTGTGTGTTTTTTTGCAAATAACCATAATATTTGGATAAAGTAGGAATAAACACTATGGTTATAAAATAATAAATTATTCTCACGGTTTTTTTTTCAGTAATTGGAACCAAATATTTCTGATCGAGGAGGACGAAACGAGGCCGAGATCTTTAGAGAACGAATTAGCGTTTCCTATTGTAAAACTATAATATATAAACAATGCTTAAACGTATTTTTTATAATAACTATCGTGAGACACTTTAATTTCAATTACAGAACTGAAAATCGCGGGTTACCCACTAGTTTCGAACCACAGAGTAGTGTGCCACACACACATCAGTGGGCTGCGCGACATCGCCGCTCATGGTAGCTCATGAGGAAGAACCCCCCTGTGGTTCGAAACTAATAGAGCTTTCTCAGTATATTCACGTGAGTAACCCGCGATTTTCAGTTAATGCCTAAACGATGCAAGAAACCCAAGCTATATCAGACAATTTTGTCTTAACAGACACGGAAATAATTGTCTCCATAACTTCTCTTTACCTTATAAAGATTTGCACAATATATTTTTTTGTTACCAACCCAACACTTATATAAGCGATGACGTGTACAAAGATGCTGTTACGTTATCATATTTACTCATAGATACGCGAGATACAGATAACATGTATCTCTGAAACCGACTGAATAATATTTGTTCACCTGCATTGTGAAACGTATTACAGCTGAAATAATTTTATTGATAGAAAGGAAGCATAGGGTGCTTTTGATCTTAGTTTTTTTATGTGGCGAAGAGTATGATACCGCCTTCAAAAAGAAAAAAGTAGGATTCCAGTTTGTACGGGATTATCTCCTGATTTGCTGAACCGATTTTGATGTGGTTTTCAGCAAAAGTGTTTGTTACATTTGGCAGAAGGTTTTAGTATACCTCTATTAATAAACAGAATTCAAAAATAAATTATTATGTTCTCGGCTTACTCACGTAGTAATTTGACGAGGAGCTCGACTAGTTTCAAGCCATGCTAGAGGCTCATATTCATGAGTAGCATTTCGCGACCCGCGACGCGGCGACTGTCGCGCTGCTACTAACTACTACTGCTGCGACAGTTGCCACGTCGTCAACTAGTCGCAAACTGGGTTGGGTTGAGTTCCTCGTCAAATTATTACGTGAGTAAGCCGAAAACATAATAATTTATTTAGTATGTCTCACGAAAGTTACAACACAAAAATAGAATTCAAAAAAAGAGGAAAATTCTTCTTTTAAACTACGTTTAGAAAAAACTACTTAAACCTCGTTATTTTTGTTTTAATCATTTAATTAGCAGCGAGTCGCGAGTTAATGGCGGAACAAACATACACGTCACACTACAAACCTCCTTTTGAAGTCGGTTAATAAAATCAAAGTATGTCTTAATTCATTTATAGAAACGGATAATTGAAAACTTACACAAAATCTAGACACCCTAAAATTTGGAACCAACTTGTTTTTATAATAACTATCGTGAGACATACTAAATTAAGTAAAATCTTCTTATGATGAAGAACCCCTCTGTGGTTCGAAACTAGTAGAGGTTTTCTCAGTATATTCACGTGAGTAACCCGCGATTTTACTTAATGGAAACAACTTACCGAATTACTCTATCCAGTGGCGAAAACTACATAAAATCAGTTCAGTAATTTTTGAGTTAATCGCGAACAGATAAGTGAGGAATTTACTGATAAAGTAATAATAGCTATGCTTACCTTAAACCTCAGAGATCCTAGTGGTGGTTTAGCATAAGGGATCCCCTGGAAGCTGTAGAAAGCCTTGCCAGAGGGACTGTTCACCACACGGCCCTGCAGTTGTCCCTGTTCCACTGTCACTACTGGAGCCTCAGCCATCCTTCCCCCTCTGGAGACAATGGGATGTTATGGTTAGTTTTAGAGTCTGATTCGCAAAACAAACTCGATCACAGCTGATACAGCTGGTACTTTCATTGAGTGTTGCCATACTTAGTTTTAAGAAAATTTATGTAGGATATATATTTTTAATTTTTTTTATGGCATAAGCCGGTAAACGAGCAGACGGATCACCTGATGGTAACCAATCGGCGTCGCCCATGGACACCTGGAACACCAGAGGCGTTACAAGTGCGTTACCGGCCTTTTAGGGATTAGGAGTTTGAGGTATCGTTGAGGATTCAGGGATTGTGGAGCTTGAGGAAGGGGAGGGTAATTGCTGAACTTTTTTGAAAGAATTCACACAATTTACAAGCAATCTAAATCGAACCTTAGGTATAAAAGTCTTAACAAATCTTTACAAACATACAGACATTCACTTTCTACCAGTCCAAGAGAATATATAATATCTCAGTATCATTATTGAACATTTAAAACCAATAAAAGTGGCTGCTGGCTAAGTGGGTTTAAAGGATACAGTTCTGTCCTACCCTTCCTGTGTGTCCCCAAAGGGACAGAAAGAGGTGCACTTTACGGCACTTAATGCCACTGTTTGTAATAGGGGTGAGCCTATTGCCATATACCACGCTAAATTCTAGACGCCATGCTAACACTGAGATTTTTTTTAAAACCCAGTAATACTTTCCCCGACCCAGGAATCAAACCCGAGACCCCTTGCCCGGCATTAGCACTTGCGACCACTCGGCCAACGAGGCAGACATTCAGAACGTATAACATCAAAAGCGTTATTACATGCAAAAGAAGCAATATGAGGGTAGTTGCAATAGTTTATAGACCAATTCATTTTATATCTACCCTCAATATATGAGGTCAAAAAAAATTTGGTTATTTTAATGGAAATGTACTTTTACGCCTATAAAGAAACATAATAAGTGCATATTACAATAAACAGCAAATCAAATCAATATCAATAAAGCCGTTCCTGAGATTATCACGGAAACAAACAGATAAATAGATAAAGAAATTAAGATATAAATCAAATATTTTAATATATTGTGATACAATCTAAAATAATTAGATGTTATTGAACTGTATTCTAACGTAATTTTTTTTTAACCTAATTTTAGACATCACGCCAGTTATTCTATAAACTTAGATAATACTTATGTAGGCACTTTTCTGTTATCGCCCGTTTTCACCCATAAACCATCTCTTAACTAAAAGATACTAAGCGTGACGTTGCACTTTAACTAACCCCTTATTTTTTTTTATATGGAATAAGCCGGTAAATGAGCAGACGGATCACCTGATGGTTAGCAATCGGCGCCTCCCATGGACAGCCGAAACACCAAGGCGTTACAAGTGCGTTACCGGCCTTTTGGGAATTGGGAATTTGAAGATTGTTGTGAATTCGGGAGACTAGGGAGGTAATTGGGCCTCCGGTAACCTCACTCACACGACGAAACACAACGCAAGCGTTGTTTCACGCCGATTTTCTGCTCAGCCGGGGTATCACTCCGGTCGAGCCGGCCCATTCGTGCCGAAGCATGGCTCTACCACACTTGAAACTTACTTGTACCCGAAGGGCCAATTTTTCAATCATCAATTAATTTTTATCTGTGGTGGTCTGATGGCTCCTTGAGGCGCGCGCGGAACGCGACATGACGGATATCAAAGATCTGTTTTTGATATTACTTGTAAGTATGTAGTTTCTCTCAAGTCTTAGATCGATCTATACATTTTTAATTACGATCGATTAATAATTTTCGTGGAGACCACATACAGAATGACGAAGCGTGAGCAGGCCGCCCGCTAAGTGGACTACTCCATCGCCAGAGTTGCGGGGAGCCATGGATGCAGGTGGCGAGTTGTCGTTCGACGTGAAGGACTAAGAAGGAAGCCTTTGGCCAGCAATGGACATTCAGCTGTAGATAGTGCTGATGATGATAATTAATTTCGGCTTCTGAGACGTCATCACAAAACAATTTGTATTAAAGGTCGTATTTGTTAAAAAAGATTCCGTGAATCCACGATTACCTACAGATTATTATAATCTTATGATTAGTACATTTCACATTCCTTTCATCATTGCTATCAGATAATTAAGCAGAAATATTTAATTTCATAATTATTCTGATGTTCCGAAAATTGTTTATTGTCTAGTAATTTAAAATATCCATTGGAAAGTTTAAGGAAAATTACTTTCTGCCAACTGCTATATACTGACAATACGGTAGTTGACAACTAGTCAAATTCAATACTTTTATCGAAACGTCAAAAACGATACTGTTCTATGAACTTTGTACGAAATACCCAGCTTATGACGTCATCATATTTTCGCGTCAAATAGCACACTTATATCTAAAGAAAATGCAAGAATAAATCGAAAATTAAGTATATCGGCAAATCAATGAATGAAAGTGTAACTATTTTTCAATATTTAATTGGATTGAAAAATCAAAATAATTTATTTTTGACCCAGGCAACTACCCAATTCTAAACTCCTTGCTACTGGGAGAATTTACATGAAAACCGAGAGGATGCTCTTATTTTGAGCTATATTTTTCTTAGTGTTTAGTGTGGACGTGGTATTACTTCTGTCGAGCCGACCTATTAGTAACAACGCATATTTCTTGCTTTCTAATTTGATCTAGTTTAAAATAGGAAATTAGAACGATTGAACGATTGACAAAGGATACTTTGTAATACAACCGATGGCAACAATCGAGCTTACAATAGGGTAGATGCCTTATTATTTTAATGTCCGTCTGATAGATTATTTTAAATCATTAGATACATACGTGTCTAATCATTTATTTTCTTAGAGAAACGAATACTTTCGACGATATATTGATTTGAAATGTCGCGTGACGTCACTTCTATGTATACACTTTATACGTAGAAATGACGTTTTAGCCCCCACTCCTAAACTTTGATTCGTCTTATCTAAGTATTGTTTTATTATACGACAAAATAAAAAAATACGTGTCTAATATTTTTTCATTACCTAACTTACGGACTAATTAGATTTTATAACTAGAGAATTGTATTGTAAACCTGATTGAAAAAGAGTAACCTATGGAGTTTCTTGCTCGTTCTTCTCCATAGGAATCTACGCCTTGGAATGAGCAACTAGCTTCACTTACAAATTTTTGTTGTTTGACGTTCAAAAGTGCCATCCTGGTCTAATTGAAATAAATGATTTTGACTTTGACTTTGACTTTTAATTTTCATACCCTGTCATCATCCCAATTGTCTTTTCGGTTCTAAGTAAAAGTAGGGACTCAAGAATAATATCCTTTTATTGGGAGTAGAGATGAGCATAAAGTGCAGTTTTATTCGTCAGTTATTTATGAGACCCAACCAATAATGAGCGATAGCACTTATCAAACCATCACCATCTTCGGCTGAAGGTCTAGACTGCTGAAGAATAGGCACTCTCTTTAACACGTTCAGAACGGCGTGTACCACCGGTGGAGCACGGAGTATTTGCTGCCACGGCGAGGTGTACCACCGGTGGTACACGCAGGTCTGAACGTGTTAAAAACAGCTTTGATATACTAACTAATAAACTTGAGGAACGCAATAAGGTCTCCGAGAATTTAGATTATGCTGCTGTTCAACTTTCAGGATGGCCGGTCACAGTGTTAAGACAGGGGTACCTGTCTTAACACTGTGACCATCAAATCCAATTTTTTTTCTTTTAAAAACGTTGCCCCAAACTAGGATTTTCTCCTGTGTCGTGGGTACGTTTACAAACATACAAGTTCACATACACAATGACACCCAGACCAGAAACAACAACTTGTGGAAGAGTTGCTTCGTGCGGGAATCGAGCCCGGCAACACGTTGCATGGCAGCCGGTTGCCCAGCCACGGCAGCCACCATACTAACCTTATTGTCGAAATTGAGTCCAATATATGTCATAAAATAAATTATCTCACCAAGTGACTTACAGAATTGGTTTTTCCTGGTATTTTCCCACTGAACACACAAAACCACTTCAGTTAAAAGTTAGAGTAATACTAAAATTTTATCTATGAAGCAGATAAAGGCTCCATATCGTATTGATATAGTATTCTTATTTCGTAATGGAATTTGTAATATTTTATTGTGATTGATTACTTACCTCTATTTGTGGCATACGTTGTGTACTTATACTTATATCAAATTATATTTAGAAAATTCGGGTCCCATTACTAAAAATTTCCCGGTTGCCATATGAACATCACCTAGGATTTGTACTTTAATTGATTCTATTTATATAATTTACTAGCTTTTACCCGCGGCTTCGCTCGCGTCACAAAAGGATAAAAAGTAGCCTATGTGACATGACATATACCAATACACACAGCGCCATCCATACCAATACTTTTGTTTTTTCTCGGGAATATCAATTTTTTCCGGGTTAAAAAGTACCCTACCGGACTTCTAACTTTACGCCTATAAAAATTCAAAGCAATCAGTTTAGTAGTTACGGCGTGAAAGTGGAACAAACAAACAAACAAACTCACTTTCAGATTTATAATATTAGTAAGGATGTTGATAGTACCTACATAGATTTTAAAAATATTCTACTTTAATTAGACATAAATAAAATTAATATTAACTATTACTAGTTAAATAGGAAATCGGCGAAATACATTTTAAATAATAAACAAACATAATAAACTTGTGTCATCTCATCTATTATAGCTTCATTTTTGAATTTGTCTTCGATTCATCTAGAAGGTTACCTAGTAAGCAGAATTTTGCCAAAATTAAAAGAAAAAACAGGGTTTTTTCTAAAATACAAAACCTTTACCTAACTCGAGTCCTAAATCTGAAGCTGCTCAAAAGATTTCTAGACATTGAATCCAGTCGATAACTCCGTGGTTCGTTGCTCACACTTTCTTCCTCAAATCTCCAATCATAAATATTAACATTCCTCGTTAAATCTTCACTGAAGGAATCCAGAAAACCGGACCAACCGTCATTATGTTCGTATTTGCGGACAAAATTCGCAATTTTTTTATTTACAGGCTTCTGTCCAAGTGCAAGCAACTTCGATTCTCTTGCTAAAAGGTATCTTAACGCAGTCCTTTTAAGTATTATCAATTCTTCTAGAGTTCTTGCCATAAAATTTAGAGTAGTATTAGAAAATCACTTTATAAATCAAACGGTTGAAACTCCAAACTGTTCAAATTAAGAACCACACATAACGTTTTCGCACATTTTTAACGGAAGCTACATATTTTAAAAATAGTCAAAGTCAAAGTCAAAGTCAAAAGTCAAAGTCAAAGTCAAAATCATTTATTTCAATTAGGCCAGAATGGCACTTTTGAACGTCAACAAAAACAAAAATTTAAAGTGAAGCTATTTGCTCATTCCAAGGCGTAGATTCCTATGGAGAAGAACGAGCAAGAAACTCCATAGGTTACTCTTTTTCAATCAGGTTCACAATACAATTTACTAGTTACATAGTTTTGCTGTTTGGATTGTGCGAGAACAATGTAACACTAAAATCTAGTCAAAGTGATCAAAAAAGAAAATAACCTTAAGGACAGTAATACAGTCTGGAGCTGACCAGTCCCAGTTGACGGCGCCCGTTCACGAACATGACACGTACACCAGCACCGCCCAACTCAACCATATTGTAAGGAATCGAGCGATCCACTGCACGCGCCACCGCCAATGAGACCTTTGAGTGAGCATGACAACTCCAAGCTGACACAAATGAAATCTACTAATCTAATTTAATATTAAGTTAATTACAGGGCTCTCACATTTACAATGGTTATCTAAGTTAAACAATATACAATTTAGCAATATGGCTGTATTATTTACGATTTCATTAAAACAAGTGTTTTTAGTTATCCTGTGGAGCCGGACTAGCCTGCATCCAAGCATTTTTATCCTCTATATATTCATTAAGTTTGTAATATGCTTGTCTACATAAAGTTTTCTTTATACATAATTTAAATTTCGATTCATTTAGTTGTTGTACATCGCCTGGTATCTTATTATAACATTTAACACAGAATCCCATGAACGACTTACTTACTTTCGCCAATCTCGAAATTGGCTGACTTAATCTATTCTTATGTCTAGTTTGATAGTGGTGTCTGTCCGACACTTTACCAAATAACTGTAAGTTTTTCCTAACATACATAATGTTTTCATAAATAAATTGACATGGAACGGTCATAATGTTGATCTCCTTAAACCTTTCTCTGAGTGATTCGCGACGACCTAGGTTGTAGATAGCTCTGACGGCGCGCTTTTGTAAGATAAAGATAGATTCAATGTCAGCAGCGTGTCCCCACAGCAAGATGCCATACGACATAATGCTATGAAAGTAACTGAAATACACTAGTCTTGCCGTGTCTATGTCAGTTAACTGTCGTATCTTCCAGACAGCATAAGCTGCAGAGCTCAATCGTCCCGCTAATGATGTAATGTGAGGACCCCATTGCAATTTGTCGTCTACAGTAATTCCCAGGAAAGTTGTCTCTTTTACAAACTCTAATTTCTCACCATTCAATAATATGTCACAATCGTTGCTTTTAACATTTGGCAAAACAAATTTAATACATTTTGTCTTTTTATTGTTTAGTACTAAGTTATTTAATGTAAACCAATTATGAACTTTCATTAGCATATACAACGTAACAAATAACGTTATGTAAACTCAAGATGTAATATATTGCGAATTCACACACCCATAAAGATCCCCTATTTCCCGAAGCATTTTAGCAAAATCTTCTCTTAATGCACCCCAACACTCCCCAAGGAAGCTTGCCAATTTTTATCCAACTGGTAACATTAACATGCGCTTTATCTATCAGTGCTTCCATCTTGTTTATACACAGATTAAAGATTATTTCTAGTTTGGTAGAATTATGAAGATTAGTACTGATTATCACGATCTTTCGATAATTTTTATGCCAACCTTAAATAAACATACAATATCATTGAACCGCGCTTGGAATTTAATGCTTCTTATGTAAATTAATCAATGTGTACCTAATCACGACAGGATTGGATTCATATACTTTTTTGTTGTTCTTCCAGCAATACCATAAGACCTGAGATGGGACTTTAGAAAGAAAGAAAGAAGAAAGAAAAGAGGCTCCGGCTCGACGTGCAGGAGAAGGAACGGGGTGGTTTTTAGTCAGTAAGAGTCAGACACTCTCTCCCGCCTCAACCAGGCGGGAGCGGTTATTCGATGATTTTCCCACTTTAAAAAAATCCTATCCTCCTCGTCTACATATTTTTAATTAGAGGAAGCTTGATAGTCTGGTAATGAACTGCGACAGGCTATTGATTCCTTTCAAAAACCATCTAATTTCAATCCACATATTATTTCCTTTTCAATTCCACCAAACAGTCTTATAAAATTTGTACCGTCACGACATTAGGCCGTATATTTCAAGGTCAAATACGTAAGAGCCTTATTTAACACTATTTAGAATACAAATCATTCGTACATACATACATATTATGTAAAGGACATACGTTTATGTATTACTACTTAATATGATTACGTAAAACGAATTCACTGTTTACTTTGATAATTTTTTGAGGTGTTCAAAAATTTGCGGTTGAATTTAGGAAGATGTCGTGGCTATCAGACTTTTTATAGGCTGAACATCATCACATGGTTGGTGAATCCAACCAATACATGTTGATTTGAACTTAAAAAACCTCCTATTCCAATTGCATTAAGCTGGACCTGTGGACTCGAAACCTGAACGTTAAATTCGGAAGTTGCGCTTGTAACCAACTTCTTAAGATGATGATTTTTTTTTGGTTATTTTTTTTTTTGATTTTCATGTTCATACATAACTAATCTGTCTTCCTAATATTATTATTCTTATTTTTTATTTGTAATCTTGTTTTATTTACTGATTTTATTATCAGTTTAATTTATCAATTGTAATACAATTTATACAACTATAACTAAATTTAATATTCCAATAATTCCGTTTATAATTAGTAATTGACATCCTAATATATTTATTTTCTTTTTGTGTTATATATGCAATTATGCACCCATGGAATCATTTGTTATTTTTCTGTATGTTTTAATTACCGTTTTTTTTGCATGTGGTATTAACCTATAATTAATTGTTGCACTCGTTAATGTTTCGTTATCTATTTAATCAGTAAGTAATGTATATAGTGTAAACAATTGTTAGTTAACCAAAAAAAAAATAATTACTTAGTTACTGTTATTTTTAAACACAGCTAATCATTTAGGTACAGTACAAATTCAGATATTTTTGCAATTATAGTCCAGTTTCTAATCAGTAGGTATAGTTCAGTCTAACTTCCTTTATTTTTAGCAACCCAGGAAATCAGTACACAATCCATAACCGATTAGATTTAGTATTAATAAAGCCTTTTGTTTATTAGTTGGTTAGTCACGAAGCGATTTGTTAGTCATTTTATTAATAGTACTCCATTGAAAACAGCATTAGACATTCTGGCACACTTTAACAGTCAGTTTTGAGCTCTATCTCATTTGTAACAAAGACTTTTGTAGCTTGTTGGACACCATTTGCCTGGCGCTAGTGTCGTGTTTGGTTGTCCAAATTGCGGATGACTTAAAATCATTCCTGTCTTTATGGAATAAGGCTCAAAATTGACTGGATATGCGGTTAAAAATGTTAGTTTTTACACCCAATAAGTTAGTTACAGTAGTTAGTCAATTTAACTAACAAACGTAACTCACCGAAGATCTTCTAGAAAGTCGTTCACGGCTGTTATCATTTTTGATGTTTCTGCTGTAAAAAAGAGATAGATATATGTATAGCTACACTCTACTTCTACAAATACTATAATACTACTTAGTCTACTTATATTCTAGAACTGCATGCTACTTAACTCGTCGAGTACCGTATTTATAGACACAATTAAAGAACTATAGGTTGCGGTCACCGGTGACCGCTTGGTGTTTGACAGTTTAAACCGGTCAACTGTGAATTGCGCTCGTGAAACAAGGGTTTGTATGGGAGATCTTAAATGTTCTGTTTTGTCAATTAAACAAATGTAAAGAAAATAGGTTTCGAACCCGCACCCTCATGCATGAGAAGCGGGCGTCTTAACCTCTTAACCCTTTGAGTACCGTCATTATAGGCACAATGAAAGAACAATAGGTTGCGGTCACCGGGGTCTTCGCGGTGTTTGACAGTTTAATCAAGTAATCCGTCAGCTCGTTTACCGGCTTATCCCATAAAAAGAGCCACCATTGGACCATTACATACGAATAAAGAAACCAATAACATTGCCAACTAACAGTTAGAATTACAGATATTGGCACTATCAAGCCAAGACATGTCTAGACGTGCATTTAGTGACGTCACGGATGTAGTGACGTCACAATGCGTCCACCTTATAGCCTAGATAAACAAGCCCTAGTTTTGCAGACTTATGGCGCGTCTGGTGTTACAAAACGGGTTATGAATTGCTTGGATATTAATTAATTGAAGGTCCAACGAGTAGATGGTTTGGTTTGCATCTATATATATACTGTCCTGCTGCTGGAAGTCTCTTATCTTACAGAGTAGGAATAAACAGTTGTCACCGCGGGTGTCCAAGATATATATACATACATCATAATATCACGCCTTTTATCCCCGAAGGGGTAGGCAGAGGTGTACATTACGGCACTTAATACCACTGTACAATGTAACACCCACTTTTCACTATTTATATTATGAGTCCCATGTAATAGGGGGTGAGCCTATTGCCATATACCGGGCACAATTTCAGACTCCGTGCTACTACTGAGATTTTTTGAAAAAACCCAGTAATATTTTGCCCGACCCGGGAATCGAACCCTTTGCCCGGCAGTCACAATTGCGACCACTCGGCCAACGAGACAGTCCATATATATATGATGATATAGGTATATATCTTATATTGCCCGGCAGTCACAATTGCGACCACTCGGCCAACGAGACAGTCCATATATATATGATGATATAGGTATATATCTTATATATGATGACTAGCTGTTGCCCACGGCTTCGTCCAGTTAGAATTCGGGGATTGGAGAGACTGGGCAAATGGGCCTCCGGTAACCTCACTCACACTACGCAAGCGTTATTTCATGTTGGTTTTCTGCTCGGTCGTGGTATCACTCCGGTCGAGCCCGCCCATTCGTGCCGAAGCATGGCTCTCCCACATTTGTCTAGTCTGAATTAAAGTGTTCCATCAGAAATCTTAAAAACGAATTTAATGTATATCAACATAAGAACCTTCATCCCCTTAGCAACTTGAAGCCCTACTACCACCTAATCTGCTTATACTACTGCGTATTTAACTAAATACAATAGACTTATTAGAAAATACTAATAGATTTTAAATGATATTGATTTGTATGTTTTCATATAAACAGCAGCTCATGTAGTGTAGATGTCCAGTCAACAAGGATGTAGCGAGGCTGACTGTCCAGGCGACACACGTATTTAGATATCGTCATGAGCTAATGTTCACATGTAATCAGCAGCTCATGTAGTGTAGATGTCCAGTCAACAAGGATGTAGCAAGGTTGCCTGTCCAGGCGACACACGTACTTAAGTATCGTCATGAGCTAATGTTCACATGTAAACAGCAGCTCATGTAGCGTAGTTGTCCAGCCAAAAAGGATGTAGCGAGGTTGACTGTCCAGGCGACACACGTACTTAGGTATCGTCATGAGCTAACGTTCACATGTAAACAGCAGCTCATGTAGTGTAGATGTCCGGTCAACAATGATGTTGCGAGGTTGACTGTCCAGGCGACACACGTACTTAGGTATCGTCATGAGCTAATGTTCACATGTAAACAGCAGCTCATGTAGTGTGGATGTCCAGTCAACAAGGATGTAGCGAGGTTGACTGTTATTATCGCTTTTTGCCAGAAGGTGTTGTAAGAGCCGATTAAGGGACTACACTTTTGAAAGTGACCAGAGCAACAGCACTCTCTGATGAACCTGTACCTTACTCAATCCGCCTAAAAAGCGTGGAGAATGAGATAATGACAAATCTTCTATGTAGATTACAGAAGGCACGTAGTCTAGCATTGGCCTGTCACGGGCTGTTGATGTTCAAACAGCATTAGTATCATCGTCTAGTAATTTTGTAGCAAGATTGTCTGTCTCGCAATTTTCTATACATTGTTTAATCAACTATCTTTTTCAACTAATGTTTAATGTATCCAATTATTGTTCATTGTTCCGGTCTGTAAAACTATGACGATATCATGAATCAAAGTGTTGGAGTGCTTCAGAAATGTGTCATCAAATTCAAGTAGATACATATCATACGACTGACTGAGCGGTGGTTAGGCAACTGACTACCGCGCAACGTGTCGCGGGTTCGGAACGGAACAACTCTTTGTGTGATCCACAGATTGTTGTTCCAGGTCTGGGTGTCATGTGTATGTGATATTGTATGTTTCTAAACGCACCCACGACACAGGAGTAAAAGAAAAAAAGATTGGTGCAATTTCTGGGCCGGCTGCGGCTACTACGCAACATGTAGTGGTTCTGATTCCCGTATATAACAACTCCATGTGTGTTCTATAAATGGTTGCTCCTATCATATCAGTGGGTTGCTCCCAGTGTTTCGGGTGTGACATGTTTTTCATGTATGTAAACATTTTTTATAGAATGGGGCGGCAGATTAGCAGACGGCAGATGATCACTTAATGGTAAGCAACCGTCTATGGACATTGACAACGCCGGAAGTTATTTTTAATCTTTTTTTTATTGAGATAAGCCGGTAAACGAGTAGACTGATCACCTAATGATAGGCAATCTGCGTCGCCCATAAACACCTGAAACACTAGAGGCGTTACAAGTGCGTTATCGGCCTTACGGGATTAGGAATTTGAGTATTGTTGGAGATTCAGGGATCCCCTATCCCTGAATCTCCAACAATACTCAGGAGGCGGAGGGGGGTAATTGGGCCTCCGGTAACCTCGCTCATACGACGAAAAACAACGAAAGTGTTGTTTCATGTCGGTCTTCATCACTCCGGTTGAGCCGGCCCATTCGTGCCAAAAGCATAGCTCTCCCTCCCATGAAGTTATAAGTGCGTTGCCGACCATTTAGGGGGAGAGGAGATTGGGTCTCTGGTAATTTCACTCACATGGTAAAACCCAACTCAAGCGTTGTTTCACGTCAAATTTTTGTAGGGCGATGGATGATATACATCCAATAGGAAATGTTTGGAAAATGTGTCATCAAAGACAAATGTGTAGTTCCTTAGATTTATCTTTATTTTTGGACTTAAACCACAATTTGAATGAACAAACCCGTTTTGTACTGATGACGCATTTTATCGTCATGGCGGAAAAGGAGTCAGGATTCCATGTCAACCAGATGTTCGCGTGTGTGTCATGATTTTTTATTTAGGTTTGTTGAAATATTTTGTTTTTATTTTGTCCTTTTTGTCAAAATGGTCCCCTCTTTTAAATCATGTTAGTGGTTAGTGATTCGTCTGTCTTTAATCAAATGGTCCCATGTTTGATTGTAATAAGAATGCTGAACATTGCATGGTCTCATATACATATTCGTACGGTTCATTAGGTTTTCATCTTCATTCTCTGCAAGACTATACATTTATATTAAAAAAAACAACGATCATTAGTCTTTGATCCATTTTCATCGATTTTGCAATAAAGATACCCTTTATTCTATCGCAATAAGGCGAATAATGAGTCCGCTGTATTAGTATTTCTTCTGAATTCATCTTCAATTTTTACTCGCCATTCTAAAATTATCTTAGAAACACCTTTCTAAAATTGAGTCTCTCACTACCTCATACGACAATATAGCAAAAATCCCACATATTATTATACGTATGACTATGTCTATATCTAAGATAAACACTTCATAAGATAGCATAGCGAGCGATAACATAAAGATAGTATCTCGTGAGAATGTACACACGAGTACATATGAAACTATACAATACCAGTATTTCATGGTCTCACATTATTTGATATTTTCGGACACTCGACGGTCAGCTTATACTGGTTTTGCAGCGCTTCATGCCCATGTACCAGCTACATATAACCAATTTATCTTGGTCTCGCTTTATAAGAGTCTTCCGTACGTTCGCCGGCCAGCTTATACTGGACGGCACAATTTGATGTGTTCGTGTTCTCTCTACTGACCCACTTGAATCGGGAGGAAGATAAGTGACGTCGACATATAAACTTTATAGTTGTTTGTTTCTAAGTGGTGAACACATCAACAGCCTATAAGTGGCCATTGCTGAGCAAAGCCTCTTCTCGCACAGAGGTTTAAGCATTAATCACCACGCTTGCTCAATGTGGGTTGGCAATTTCAAACTTATAATTAGACATTATAAGTCCAGGTTCCCTCACTATGTTTTCCTTTACCATTTGTCAGTGGTGTCTAGATAATCTTAGAGGTTTAAGCATTAATCACCACGCTTGCTCAATGTGGGTTGGCAATTTCAAACTTATAATTAGACATTATAAGTCCAGGTTCCCTCACGATGTTTTCCTTTACCATTTGTCAGTGGTGTCTAGATAATCTTAGAAAGTACATATATAAGTAGATATAAGTACAATTATTTTTTTAAGGGGAGAAAATCATCCAAAGACTGCTCCCGCCTGGGTGAGGCGGAAGGGAGTGTCAGACTCTTACTGACTAAAAACCACCCCGTTCCTTCTCCTGCACGTCGAGCCGGAGCCCCGGTTACCCGTTAGGTTCTCCGCGACATATAAGTACAATAACTCGGAAAAAGTCACAT